CACTTGCAAAACTTTTGAGACTATTTCTATATTATCACGTTAATTTTAGTAAGTTCAGCGAGTTTTATATATTTTTAGCTCTTTACATATTTTTGTGTTTGAAATGTTTAAGTCACTATAATTTGCTTTGCTCAGGCTCGCTGCTATGTAGAAAAGTTGTTTTTTCTTTTGTTCCTCCCATGTATCAACTGGTGTTTTTGTAGCCTTTTCATCAAATTATTAAATGTTTCATATAGGAGAGGGTTAAGATTACTATTGCAGTTATATATGTTATATATGTGAACATTGTAAATTTCATTGACTTGAGGTAGTTATAGGAGAAATGAACAGTAACTGTTAGCTAGTTTTTACAGTAAAAGGACAGTGCTGTTTAAAAATCATCTTCCATTTTTTCTTATAGAGTATTAGAGTATTTGAGGTTTTCCCATCAGTGTGTTGTATTTTGACATCCAGCTGTCTCAGTTTCAGTGCAGCAGGCTTCATGATCACATCATTTCAAGATTTAAGCAAAAAAAACGGACATTGAGCTCCTTTTGTTATAAATAACTAATGTGTCACAGTACACAGAACTGCCATGTAACTGCCATGACACTGCACCACTAAACAACCCTTAATTGTGATCATTTTAAATATTTTATTTTGATTATTCTTACATTAAACTGTGGTTATTTTTGTCTAAATTTTATGATTCCATGATTTATATTCTAAGAAATAAGAGGGCAATAAACTCAAATGGGCTGAATGGTCAATAAATTAAAGTGGAATGTGGTTTGGAAAGGGATGATATCTTATCTTCTTTACAGTTAGAGGCAACTCTCTTCTTTGCAGAGTTTATAATTAAAAACAGAGAAAAACACTGCTGAACGACTGACTGATATAGAGTGTGGTTTGGAAAGGGAAGGTATTTTAGGATTTATGTTCATTTTTTTTAGATTCTAATTAGTATAAAAAAAATGCAATCATTACGTTAACAGACCAACATTCAACATTTTCATTAAAACTGTACCTAACTTGGATTACATATTATTTTCAGCAGCTATGGGCTATAACTGGAATTAGACATTTGCAAGATGAAACTTGCTTTTTTTTTTTTTTTATCAATAAAGGCATATTTAAAAAAAATATACACTGTGTCAATAACTTCCTTTAGCACTGACATTTATTTGTATTTGTTTTTATAGCAAAACACACATGACATAATTTCCTCTCCACTGAAAGACTATTTTGGCCATTCTGTCTTTCTGTTACAGCCCATCACTGTCATCATTCTTCTTTGAAGGCCTTCTGTGGTCCATTGATGGTGCTTTTCTATCCTCCACCAAATCTAATGCTCTAGTGATGTCGGCGCGAATGCCGCCGCCCTTCACCATCACTCCATCTGTCTATTTCTATTTCTACCTCTATCTCAGTCTGCAAGTCTGTCTCAAGGTTGACTGGGAATTGTTAATAGAAGGACCCACTGCCTCTTTGTTTCAAGGCAATGGCAGAAAACAAAGCACTTCAACTCAAAAACCATCAGGGGCCACATCGATATTGATTTTCGTGGCAAGACACACTTATCTATATATTGGGCTCCATTAGGGCTGACAGATAGGTTAGGCCACCACTCTAAACAGCAGCAGATCAGTGTTCAAGTAAAGATGAAATTGGGCCGAGTGTCAATTTATCTTGTATTACTTCTGAATTGGGGCAACAGGGGGCAATCGAGTCACTGACACTGTAAGTAACAGAAGATGCAAGGGACTCATTTTTGTATCGCTTTAGGAATAAACACTGCTTCAAAATACATATAAATACATTTTTAATGATATTTCTTCATAGATTTGTATTTTTTCATATCCAAAATAAAATGGATTGTGAATTAATTGGAGTATGTTCCACAGGTTTGTACATCAAGTTAATGCAGTGGTGTGTAGCAAAGGCAACAGCAACACAGTTTAGCTTACTGTAACAGAGAAAAAGCAGGCACCAATGTGAGCATAATAAGGGAAATGCTATACCAATGCTAACTACTTGCATAGGCTCCAAGGTGTCAGGCTACACCAGTGCTGATTTACACCACCTTATAAATAAAATAGCATCTTGGGACTGTCATGTCA